TCGTCGGAAGGGATTCCTCCCGGCGGGATGGCATCATTCGGCACCGGGTATCCCTTGGGATACCCGGATATCCGCCTTGTCTGGGCGGAAAAACGGCCATCCGCAGCCAAATCCGCACCCGCTGGCGGGTATCCGCTGGCCCTAGCGGATATCCGCGGCGGATTATCCCCGCCCATCTCTAGTTTTCCCCAGCCTTTTAATTCATTTTTTGGCAATTCTGAATATGCTAAAAATCTTCTAAAATTGATCATTCTTTTTGGGTATATAAAAAATCCTCAAAAGAGAAATTTTAATTTATCTGATTCATCAAGTTTTTTTTTCTGCCTATGAGTTTTTGAGAATTCAAAGTACATTTAAATTTATCATTGATATTGCCCAATATTTGGGAAATCTATAAAGGACCAAATTTGATTTCATTTTGGAAACCCCAATGTTGTTGGTTTTGAGCTATAACCAAATGGACAAAATAAGGAATATCTTGAATGGGACCATCTGTATGGAGAAGAAAGATTAGAAACTTGAAAATTAATAATAATTGTTGGCTTTAATTCAAGTTTTCAAGAGTTCATAGGGTCAAAAAAAAATTGGGAAAAAATGGGTGAGAAAAATAAAAAAATTGAAGTTCTCTTTTGAGGATTTTTTATATACCCAAAAAGAATGATCAATTTTAGAAGATTTTTAGAATAATCAGAATTTCCAAAAAAATGAATTACAAAGGCTGGGAAAAACCGGGTGTAGAAGCAGAAAACCAGGTGTGAAAAACCAGGTGTGGTTAGCAGAAAAGGGGGGTACGTTTATTAATCCCCTAAAATTAATGGCAAAAAAAAATTAATTAAAAAAGCGGGTTTAAAAAAGGATTGCGCGTGTGCTGTGCCGCAGCAAAAGCGTGTCAAAACGCGGAAAATGCGTGTTTTTTTATTAAGGCCCAAAAAAAAAGAGAAAAAAAAGAGAAAAAAAAAAAAGAGAAAAAAAAGAGAAAAAAAAAGAGACAAAAAAGAGACAAAAAAAGAGACAAAAAAGAGAAAAAAAAAGGGGTTTTAAAGGGAATACAACCAAAACTGTATTTGTATTGTATAGGCTAGAAAATGAATACAATGTATTTGTATTGTATTTGATAGCAGAGGCAATACATGTACTTCTGACAAAGTGCAATACGCTGTATATGCCTATACAATACGTGTATAGGACTCGTTGCACCGTTGCCTCTAGTAAAAAAAATCTCTTAGGGGAACAGAAAAAATAATTTTAACCAGGTCAGAGATTCTCAGTATGCAGGGAGAAGGGAGAATCCATGACAAATTCTGTACTCAAAAACAAGCAGACAAGAGAAGTTAGCCATAAGCGTGCACCGGAGTTTTGCGTACTACGAATATAATATACGTCAACCTTCAGTCCCATTATCCCCAGCCGTCAATTTTGTCGTCAAAACTGTCATCGTCTTCTTCATTGGAGTTGTAGTTGCCTAACTGAGCCACTGTGGTTGTGCCTGCACAAGCTTCAACCAATCTCGCAGAGGCCTTCATGTGTTTCTTCTTGTTTGGACAGTCGGATGAGTGGTGACCCTTTTCACCGCATGTGTAGCATTGTGGTCGTCCTTTAGCCTTGGCAACGGCAGAAGCAGCTTGTAGGTGATCAGAGTGGTCTAGCGAGGTGGTGGTTGAGATTTTGTGAGCTTTGATTGCTCCAACAGCGTCGTCAAGCGACACTTCATTGGGGGAATTGACAAGATGGTCTCTAATTGTTTTCCACGAGTGGTTGAGACTGCGGAAAAGTCAATTGCAGATCTGTTGATCAGACAGGGTCAGCTTGACACTGGCTAGGTCTGAGGCTGCCATGCGGATCCGAGCAATCCATTTTTTGATAGGCTGATTCGGATTGTGAGGAGCCATCCAGAACGCATCTTGAAGTTGAAGTCTTCTAGCTTGTGTATTTTTTTTGTACACGTCACAGATAGTCAAGAACAGCTTGCTGGCGGGTTTTACTGACTCATATCGAATAGTGAGGTCGGACAATAAAGTCATTTGGATTGTGGAGCATGCCATATCAGACAAGGCATCCCAGTCTGCGCCATATTCTTTGGGGTTGTATCCTTGTTGCTCCGGAGATCGGACAGCGGACTTGTTTTCCTTTGAATCGCTGTTATTCGGACGAGGTAGTGACTTGTTCACAATATCAAGAACGCCTTGTAGTTGAAGAACGTTCTGGAGCCGATTTCTCCAGGATGGGAATGTTACTGAGTTGCCGTCAAGAGCAGGGACCGTTTGAATTAGAGCCGAAGGGTTGTTCATTTGTCAAATAGGCATCTTCCAAGACTTGTTGATGGAGATTTTTGATATAACTGGGGTGATTGATAACCAAAATCGAATGGGAGCGGTAGCGACAATGAGTATCATAACCTGTTGAGGTGGACCAGGCTGGGAGCTGAGAGTCACAGACGTAAGTCTTGTGACAGTTGACTGAACACGAAGATAAATGATGTTTAGATTCAGTGAGGAAGAGTCAGAAGATCCAAGCTGGCCATACACTAAATCAACACAATTTTTGTGATCTGTCCATATAACTGATACGGCCGAGGTCCATAGTGACAATTTTCAATGTCCTACAATCACACACAATCCCGCAGAAAATGAACAGCACAAGATGTAGTGACAAACAAACAGAGGATGTGCCTGGTGAGATTTGAACTCACAAACTCAGCAATGCTGAGTCACATACCAGAGTGCTTCCTTTACACAGCATGCAAATGGTTGACGTTTGCCCAAATGTCAATGTGACGTTTGACATGCAAAAGTCAACCAAATGGCAGAGCTGGGCTGACGTTTGTGTCAAAAGTCACATTGATGTCACCCATCAAATGTCACCCGCTTGCATGTAGTTTTACCAAATAGGCTACAGACCCTTGTGGTTGTAAGTTTAGTTGGGTGGTAGTTGCCATGGTTCATGCCAACAGCTCCACCACACTCTGGTGATACATCATGGTTACACCCCAGCCCCCCCCCCCCCTTGCTACACAATGTGAAAGTGGAAATTGAACAAGTGTGGCAATGGAACCCAGTAATTAAGTATGATCTGAGGGGGAATTGAACCAACAATGTAACAGATCTGATCCCAGGATTGGTATTTATCGGGGATTGGATCGAAATCTTGCCCAATACTACGTATCGGGATTGGATCTATTGCTGATCCGATCCCAATTTATTGGATGATTGGTATTGGCTGGAGCGATCCAATCCAAGCCACGCGGGAACTCGGTATTGATATTGCCCCAGCCAATACAATCTGTTCCTGATACTGTATTGGGGCCCAGGATTCTTCGGTCGGTCATCATTTCCGACCGACCCTTGGAGTCTACACTACAGTTTTACTACAACCTCCCCACCCCACCAACCCCCACTCGCCATTAGTAGACGAGTCGGAGTAGCTCATCAGCAACAATTCCCCGACACAACCGACCTCACACACCACGGCACGGCCCCTCTGGCACCACCCCTTTCGGCCTAGTCTGAGAGAACACAAAGAGCTAGGATAGATTTCTTTCATGAGATAGTGTTCCTATGTACAACTACTAAATCTGAAATTGAGCAGATAGAGAAAAAGGAAACTAGATGTTTACCTAGGAGCAATACTTTAGCTGTTGAGTTGAAGTTGAGACTTTGTTTTAGTTGCTGTTGTTGCAGCTGTTGTGAGATGAGGATTGAACTGGATGATGGACATTGTCATTCGTCAGCTCTTGTTAGGATATCTACTTCAACCGGTTTGCTTTTACTTATTCATGCCTCTCCTGGTCAAGGGCGGATTCTTCTGAGATATGGGATTCTAGTGAGCCTGTGTTAAAGTGTTCGACTGAATTGATCATCAGTTAGATGTCTGCGTTTTTGCTTATTCTAATCTGCTCGCTGCTCTTACCTGAGATCTGTATCTCGGTTATCCTATCTTGTAGATTTGTTCTTTCTGCTTGTAGTTCGTGCGCGTAACTGTGGGTAGGATCATCTTTCTTTCAGTTCGCTTGATCTTTTTGTTATTGTTGTTATGACTGCTGCAATTGGATGCTTACCTGATTGCTTTGGTTGATTTTCCTGACTTCTGTTCTTCAGTTGTTTGCTGAGTTTCTGATAAGTCGGTTGCTGCAGCGTGTCACAAGCACTTTCAGTCAGCTTAAACCCTAACCGGTTGACCTGGTTATTTTGCATATGCAATTTGACTTGGTGAGAGTAGGGCTTACCTATTTCACTGGCCGCTCTTACAGTCGTCCTCCTCTTCTTGGAGGAGGCGCTGGAGCCTATAGTTTGACATAGTCTACGTAACGTGTTGGTTTACCGATCAACCGGACTTGTTCGTACACCGACACTGCCCCGTTTGGTCAAAATTCAACACTTGGAGTTGGTTGAGTGGCCCGAGGGATCTTCTCCTCACCGCTACCTAACCCGGTCAGCCTCCGCTCATCACCCGGGGCCCGAGCACATTCCTCCTCACCCAAGCTACCTAACCCGCTCAGCCTCAGGCTTGACTCATCACCTGGGGCCCGAGCAATCTACCTAACCCACTCGTTGGAATTTGGCCCCCCCCCCAAACGATTATTTTTTTCTAAATCACCCCCCCCCCTTCTTTTCTTTGTGTCACACTACTGTCAAGTAGTCGCGCGAGCCGGCAAGACGGGTGCTGAGGTGAGTCATCAATACAATACAATCCAATATTGTGTATTGTATTGTATCCTAGAAAAAAAAATCCCATGAAGAAACATATAGCGGTAATGTATATTTCTTTACATTAAGTATGAAAATTATAAATATATTACAAACAATGAAAAAAAAGATCCCAAGTCCCCCCCCCCCATGTCTAGACAAATACAGTCCAATATCCAAATTTTATTTTATTTTAGGGCCTTAATAAAAAAACCCGCATTTTCCGCGTTTTGACGCGCTTTTGCTGCGGCACAGCACACGCGCATTCCGCTTTTAAACCCGCATTTTTAATTAATTTTTTTTTGCCATTAATTTCGCGTTTTTTTGATTTTTTAAAGTTGTTTCCTACACTTCAAAAGGTGTAGAATTTAATGGTAAACACCATTTTCCATAAAAATGAATTTTGATTATTAATTATTTTTTCTCACTCATTTTTCAAGTAATTGTTTGCTTTAAGTTTTTACCTCATTTTTCAAGATTTTGTGTAACTTTAAAGTTGTTTCCTACATTATCAAGTGTGTAGAAATTTATGGTGAAATCCAATTTTCATAAAAATGAATGGATCATTTTTAATAATGCAATTACACCCATTTTTTCACTTAAATTTTTAGAGCTCAATTTTCATTCTGTTTTCACATTTTGAACTTTTTTCCTACACTTTCAGACATGTATAAACTGATGGTAAAAATTATTTTGAATCAAAGTGAGAACTACATCTTGTATACTGCATTTGACACCATTTTTTTATTTAATTCTTCACTTTTTCACTCAATTGTTTGCAATAATTTTTTTACCTTATTTTTTCTGCTTTTTTGAAATTTGAAAGTTGTTTCCTACATTTCAAAGTGTTTAGAATTTACTGGTAACATTCAATTTCCATAAAACTCAACTGTTCATTCTGAATACTGTAATCAGCCTTAAAATTCAATTGATTTTTAAGAGCTTAGTTTTCATTATTTTTGTACGTTTTAAATTTGTTTCCTACACTGTAAGACATGTATAAAATGATGGTAATAACCATTTTGCATCACAATGAAAAATTGTTCTTGAATAACGCATTCCACATGTTTTTTTAATTAATTCTTACACGCTTAATTATCCTTATTTTATGGAATTTTAAGTTCATTTCCTACACTTTGAAAGGTTTTCAAATTGTTGGCTGTATCGATTTTGCATTCAAATAAAATTTGTATACAGTACAAATTATGCAAGAAATAGTGTACACTCTTATATTAAGATTGAAGCTTTTCTTTTGAGGCAAAATGAATTCTACCATTAAATTCTACACACTCTTGGATGTAGGAAACAAATTTAAAATTTCAAAAAATGATCAAAATTAAGCCAGTAAAAATCAATCAAAAAAACATCAAAAAAAACCTGTCACACGCAGTATTCATTAAAAATCTTTGGTTTTTATGCAAAAAGATTTTTACCATCATTCTAACCATGTCTTAAAGTGTGGGAAATAAATTTAAAAAGTGAAAAAAGAATGAAAATCAAGCTGTAAAAATTTAAGTGAAAAAAGGGTCTAATTTCAGTATTCAAAGTGAACCGTTGAGTTTTAAAAAATTTGGATTGCGCCATTAAATTCTGCATGCTTTAAAACCTAGGAAATAATTTTAAAACCTCAAAAAAACTTAAAAAATAAAGGACATACATGCATGCAAACAATTACTTGAAAAATGAGTGAAAAAAATAATTAATAATCAAAATTAATTTTTATGGAAAATGGACTTTACCATTAAATTCTACAACCTTCAAAGTGTAGGAAAAAATTTCAAAAAATCAAAAAAACTCGAAATTAATGGCAAAAAAAAATTAATCAAAAATGCGGGTTTAAAAGCGGAATGCGCGTGTGCTGTGCCGCAGCAAAAGCGCGTCAAAACGCGGAAAATGCGGGTTTTTTTATTAAGGCCCTTATTTTATGTTATAATGGCAAATGATAAAAAATAAAAATAAAATCCTTGCAAAAAGATTTTTGGGCAAAAAAATACCTTTTGAACTGATCCACCCAATACCGGATGGGTATCAGATTGGTATCGCAATGCAATACCAATACCTCATGCCCCAATACTCCATGGTGTGATCCAATACCCAGGGTATTGGATCCGGTGGGTGATCCAATCCCCCATTTTTCAATCCCTGGGATCATTTAAGTGATCTGATCCAATAAATCGGCCAATACCGTATTGGATCAGATCTGTTACATCGTTGATTGAACCCATAATCTCAAGGTAGTCTGACAGGGGAATGTGGTCTTACAAGTAAGTGTTAAAAATTGGCAGGGGGGGGGGGGGAATTGAGTGGCCCCCATTACCAACTGAAAAAAAATGATGATCAATTGAGGGGATCTGGATGTAGGCCCCCCAATCAGGCACTGTCTTCAGGGTAGACTAATGCTAATCATGTGGTCATTTAACTGCATAGTCAGTTACACTAACAGTTAGTGTAACTTTTTGATCAGTTACACTAACTGTTAGTGTAACTGAGGGAACCACTACACTAACTGTTAATGTAACTCATCAAAAAGTTACGCTGGTCTGTAGTGTAGTGGTTTCAACAACTAACACCACTACAATTGTGCTAACAAGGTTTTTGGTTAGTGTTAGTTGGACTTTTTCCAAGTCAGCTAACACTACACTAAAGTTTTTTTTTTCAAAAAATCTGTAGTTTTAGTGGGCCAAAATTTCTGCTAACAGTAACTTTTTTGTAGTGTAGCTTAAAAAGCTAACACTACGCTGCACCAACACTACAGTTAGTGTAACTGGCCCACCATTGCTTCTGGTTGATAAGTGTTTGCTTGATCTTGATCTGGTTGTTGTGGTTCTGGTTTGGTCTGGAGTCTGAAAATCCTGAATCAACAAGCTCAGAGAGGATTTTCAAAGTTGGATTACGTAATACTAGCATGTACATGTGGTAGAGATTGTTCGTTTGGACCTAGGTACCTGTTGGTACCTAGGTACCTGCTCATTTTTTTCAAGAAAATAGATACCATGTACCGCACCAGACACCTCCCGGAGGGTACCTAAGGTACCTGTTGCAGGTACCTCAGGTACCTCCCCTCTCTTTCTCACTTGGTTTTCATGCAGCCCCCCCCCCCCCTTTTGGTAGGGAATAAAGAGACATGAAAAGATAGTGACAGCTATGGGAGTCAAACCCATGTCACAGTCATGGTACAAACCTGCTCTAAAGCTGAACTAAGCCATCTGGTGCATGGTGTACAGAGGCTACAAAAGGGAAGTGAGGGGGTACCTGTAGAGGTACCTAGGTACCTGTTCAATTTTTCACAAAAATAGGTACCAAGTACCACACCCGGCACCTCCTGGCGGGTGTGGGGCGGGTGCGAGGGGTACCCCCCAGGAGGTACCAGGTACCTGCAGAAAGTACCAACGAACGATCTCTAACATGTGGTAGAGGGATCTGAAACCTATAAAGGGCTTGTGTAATTCTTGAAGTACTGTGAATTATTACAAAGTCAATGAAGGAATGGAGTTGAGTAAAAGTGATGAGTGGTGACTAGGGTTAATTCTACTCCAGGAATCCATTTCTGAAGTCAGAAAAGTTGAAAGTCTTAAGATAAAAAAGATATGATAATATTTGAAATAGAAATGTGCAAATTTGGTAGTCTTTTGGCCAGCTTGGCTGGCTCTAAGGCTGACATTGGGCCCCCAGGCTCAAGCATGGTAAGGTTTTATTTATTGTTTTTCTGCCTCACTCTTTTGATTGAAGGTATAGCTTCAAAAGCTGGTTTGAGGGAAGGCAAGCCAGAATGAAGGTGTATACATGGCAAACCTCCCACCAGGGAGGACTTAGTTAAGTGAGCCCTCCTTTGGAGGCGAACTTAACCACAAGTCCCTCCGAGGAGGTCGCGCCAGCGACCTCCGAAGGAGGGACTTGCATTCAAAGTGGCATGTCTACCCCTACAAACTCCAGCAAAATGGCAGGAAGAGTGTTCCCCTCACCTATAACACCCAGTACTACCCTGTTCCAGTATGATTTTCACCGGGAGGGTTCCACCATCAAAATAGTACGCTTCTGAGCTTATTTCTACCCACTTCAAATGTTTGAATATCCCTACTCCCTGGCATGAAATGCCCTGTAAAATATATGATTTGGAAAATTTATGAGAGCAATCCGCCTTGAGCATGGCCGGATATTCCATCGGACATATCTGGTCATAAAAACATAACTTGAATGAGCATATTATCCTTGTAGTACTGTGATTATCTCAGAATTATCAAAATTAAATACATACCTAAATGCATGTATAAATTAGTTCAGAGCTTGTGCCACGTTCATCCAAGTCCTTGAACTCCCCAGGCTCCAATCAGCCACGATGGAAATTGACGAGGTCCCATCACAATCCCCTCCAGCATCCGAGCAATCCCCATCCCCTGAAGCGGCGCCAAGACGAACGCTAGCCACAAAAACCCTGGAGATTTGCGATCACCTGAAGTCAAACTACAACATGACACCAAAGCAGTTTATCGAGGCATTTCTCACTGCGGACAGTGATGCGCTTTCTTTTCGTCGGCGTTATTGGGGTTCTAAGGATGGCTGGCCCTCAACTCTTGACATAATCCAAAAAATCAAAAAGCAAGTGAAAAAGACACAAAAAGGTCAAGCTCGTTGGTGCGAATTCATCAAAAATGAAGTGAGTTTTCCATTCTGTTGGTAGAATCAATCAGGTTCATGACTCTATTTGTTCCTTTCTTGTTTTTTTTTCAGGCCATCCAAATCTTGGATAAGGAGAGACCTCCGACTGGCGAATATCCAGGTGGATGTTTTCAAAGTAGCCAGAAAGTTGAACCATCTTTCTTTGACGATGATGCTGTACTCGCCCGAGAAGAACTGCTCACCCAAGCCCACATGCCTTTCCTCTTTGAAACACTCATGGGGACTCTTCAACCATCGAGCCAAGCGCAATCATCTGAGCAACCAACTGAAGAACCCGAAAAACAAAGCTTGGTGGACGAAGACGAAAGAGAACTAATGGAAATGGAAGATATTCAGTACAAGCGAAGTAGTATGTTACCTTGTCGAATGAGAAAAGTTGGTCATTTTTTATTGTATATTTTCACTCTTGCTGCATGGATTGTATGTATCTCATACCACTTCTGATTCCTTGTCCAGATTGCAGCGACCATCTGTGCACAGGTTGCATTCGCCAAAAATCGACGATGCAATGGTTTGCAGCTATTCAACAGTGTACGCTTTGTGGCGGGTGGCATCTCGGAGGTTGTTAACGACTACTTGCATCTCATCGGTTTAACCTCTTCACGACAAACAGCTCTCAAGGCTCTCACATGCTCATCAACTGGTGCAGCACGGGATATACGTACTTCGATGAAAATTGATAATAATTCAGTCATAGGCCCCGCAATCTGTATTGACAATCTAGACATTGAAGAGCGTGTTCACACTCAATCTGTTGGCCATCGATCCATGATGTTTCATGGTACATGGGGTTATATACATAAGCCAAACCCTTCCCTACTTGCTTCTTTAGATCATTCACACTTGACCTTAGAAGCCTACAATCGATCTCTTAGTGCAATACCTGAATTAAAGATTCTTCCTAGAATGTTTATTCCAACTCCGGAGGAAGACATTCATTTTGAAGCAGTAATGAAAAGTCAAATTTCACGTGTCATGCGCCAGTATATTGCCGAGCCAACAAATAGAAAGTTTTCGATACCTTCAAGTCCACCCGAAATCGAGCTGATTGACTGTTCACCACCAGAGATCCAGATGCTCAAACTTATGGATGCATCTGATAATTCCTCAGAAGGTGTCGGACAAGTTTTGGATTCAATTATTCGTCAATCAGGTCTCACCGCAGAAGAATTCTGCTCTCGCCTCCAAGTCATGGATGGTGACTTGGGTACTTGTCAGAACATCAACTCCCTTCGAGCTCTACGATCACCCAGCAGCTACTCTGATCATGCATTACTCAACATCACCATGCAGCTTGGCTCGGCGCATACGCTATGGAACATCTCTCAGAACATCCTAAATTCTCATTTTGGAGATCCGACAAAAACCAACGACTTGGGAGCATGGCAGTATTTGCATGCACTTGGTATCCCATCGGACAAGGTGGCATCCAAGAAAGATTTTACATTAATGATGAAGAACATAGAAAAGGTACATGAGGCGACTATATTTTATTGTATTCGGTGAGTGATTTGGTTTTATATCTCCAAACAAGCAACTTTAGACATTATTGCTAATCAAGGATTGAGTAGAGTTATTATGCACACCGAACAGGAGAAATTAAGTGAAGAAGTGGACAGAATAGAAACCAACGTGTGGAACAAGATTGTAGAGGAGTGCTACGATCGATTTTTCTCTCCTCAAGCTCGGCAATTGGTGACAAAAGAGAAATCACCCAAACTGCATGCTATCTTGATTCGTCTCCACGATTTTTCAACTATTGTCGAAGCCAACCGTGCCATGAAGGCAGGAGACATTGGACGTTTGATGAGTGTTTGGAAGATTTGGAGCCTAATGTCACAGGCACTGACAGGACTAGTCAACTACCGGTCATATCTTCCTCGAATGGTTCTTCTCTTGACCCAGATACTCCCACCTGATCTTAGTAAACTTATACGACACAGTCTTCTGATCTCCCCAAGTGGAAGGCCAAACCACTTTGTTGCTAAAGATTACCATCTTGAATGTCAAAACTATCTGCTTAAATTTTTTTATAATCACTCCGGAGTTGGGACTCAAATAACAAGACTTCAAGACCTATTCTCATTGAATATGCCATTGGTCTGTACTATTCCATCATGTAATTCGAATTTGCTAAGTCTAAGACTTATTGACTTGTATGATGTAATTCTCTAGCTCCGATCACTGTTTTTCAGTCTGAAGAAGGAGAAAGGCACTCATGTGATTCACCAGTCTCACAAGAATTCTATTACCTTACTTTCACTTGAGAACTTCTTACGAATGGCACGGAACAACGACATACTTGACCAATACTCTCTGGATTCATCGGCACATCTGGTTCCAAATTGTGAAGACACATTACATGCAGGTCTCCGGAAACTCCAGGACGAGATCAGTGGGAAAGATCCCAACTTGAATCGTTTCAAGATGCATTTGATGTGGGTGACTGAACCTGGGGAATCTAACTGTAGCTTAGTACAACAAGAACCAACAGAAATAGATTGTGATGCAGCCACAAATGAAGAGAGAGAAGCTTCTCCATTTGAAATGTAAACAAACTTCCAATATCCAGCACTCCGTTCGTATAAAAAGATCAATGTACTCTGATCATGTGTTCTGTCCGTTTTCTTGATTCTCTTGCTCGTTTTGTTTGTTTTCTTGATTCCCTTTGTCCGCCTCTGCAAGAATGCGAGCCTTTTTTTTCGCCCGGTACCGAGCCGCATATTCCCGTTTCTTCCGCTTTCTTGTATCCTCCACCTCAGCTTTGCTTATCTCAGAATCAATCGTCACTAGTCCAACCGCACCTGACATGATTTGATTGTCAACAACGACATGATTGGCGGGTTGCATTTGTTCGGAAATCTGAACATCATGTTCATGATGTTGGGCAAGAAGTTGTGCCCGTTTGTTTGCGCGGTATCGAATGCCATACTCTCGTTTCTTCAGCTTCTTCAGCTCTTCAGCTTCCTTTCTCGTCTTCATTTGATTTTCCAAGTGTTGGTGATAGAGTGAATCATTCTTGAGGTTTGAAATAGTATTCATCAATAGATCCAGCTGTCCCGAAACAGTTTCTCCACCGATGATAGTATTCAAGTCATCTTGATTTTCAATATTGGGTAGATTTTGCAAGACAGCCTGAGCATGATGGTCATTAAATAAGTCGGCCGCCAGAAATCGAGCCGATTTGGACCTTCTCTCCTCATAGAAATCAGTAAAGGTACTGATAAGGCAAGCTTTGAATGTTTCAGCAAGTTCCACATTGCCTTCCAGCACATCTTTGCCGGTGGACCGAGTTTTATTTTTCTTCATAATCTCATTTGCCGGAAACTGTATAGCATCAATGATGGCTTCATCGAAATTGCTCTGGTTTAAATTTCTGAGATTTTTAGTGAGTGTGACACCTTCCTCAACCATACAGTTTGAGCATCGGCACTTGGGAAGACCAACGGTGCCACAGAGACGATACGATACGGTATCAGGCGTTCATCTGTATCGTCTCAGAATTCGAATACCCAAAAATACCGGATTTGTGTTGTCTCACTTTCCTGAGACATATACATGTATCGTATTTGAAAAGTGAGAAATGTATTCTGTATCGTCTCAGATGACTGATCCCACCAAAACCGTATTTGATACATAAGATATTTGGCTGTATTGAAGAAAAAACGAAAAAAACGAAGACGAATTTTTTTTTTTTTTTCATTTTTAAATCCAAATCCGATACAATGTATTTTTTCACCAACCAAGGAAATACTGATACCGGTATCAGGCTCAAAATAAATACGATCCGATCCGATACAAATACATGTCTCGTATCTGTGGCACCGTTGGGAAGACCCTTCAATTCTTGTCTGCGAACTTCAGAAAGATACTTTGGATCGTCTTTTGAAAGGGGTATGTACCCATACTCATTGTCCATCACGTATAAAGCAACTCGAAGACAGACGGGTGTAACAGCAAGGGCATCCATGCGATCATCATCGGATTGTTCTTCTACCTCTGGAAAATCTTCAACACGATTCTTTCCTCCTTTTTGATTCGACTCCACAAACAGGATGGCCAGTCCTCCTTTACCATCCCTCCCGCACCTGTTGGTCAGATAATATTAATTCTCTGAACTATGTAAATCACAAAGAAGCAAATATGAATCACACCTTCCTATCATCTGACATATATTTGCTGGATCCCCCCTCCCCATGTGAATCACACTTCTTACACGTTTCCAATTCTGTCCTAATCCTAGCGCCATCGTAGCTGATATGATCGGGAAAAGTCCATCCGAAAAATCGCGGACACAGTCAACTTTGTCTTTATCTCCGGTGGTTGAATGATACCGCCTTTCCAGTGTGTTTCTAGGATTTCGGCAGCTGTTAGGAGTTCCGCGAGCCATGTCCAACACCTCCAAAACAGTAAAGGTACGTGCTCTTGTTCCACTATATATCAGCATAGGGACTAGTTCGTTGTTTGGTGTCTTGTCTTCTGAGGGGAAAGCATTCAACAGATCCAGATTGGATTTCAGCGAGTGGGCCATGTTGATTCGGATTATCCTAATTTCTGACCGTGTCAACTCGTCTCGAATGATGTTGATAAGATCAGTTGTCAACTTGAGGCTTTTCAAAATTGCGTTTACAGCTAACGGTCGGCAAGTTGCAGACAAAAGGAGGATCGGAACGTTGTTTCGACATTGTAGATGCCGTGCAAGATCTCCGTAGGAAGGTCGAAAGATTCCAATATCTTGATGCCTGACAAGTATGGAATATTTCTTAGTTCCATTAGAGCTCTCAACAAGGCCCCATATGTAAATCATGTGAGCCTCATCAACAACCACGAGTCCGAGTCGGTCTTGGAATTCAGGGCTGAAGTAGACTGAATCCCATAGCTTACTGTTGAGAAAAATCTCCGGGCTGAGGTACACAAAGTTGTACACACCCTTTTTGATTTGCTCGGCTACTGCTGGGTTGAACGTCATTTTGGTTAAGTTGATTGCTGTAAACTTGCCCTTCTTTTCCTCCACTTGGTTGTCGCCTAAGGCATCGAGTGGGTTTAGCACCAATATGACTGGCTTCGAGCTTTGAGGCAATAGCATATGATACATCTCTGGAATCCTAGACTTTCCAAATCCGGTGCCAGCTAAAAGGAAAGTACTTGTCCCTCGGGCCAGGCTTGCAACCGTCTCCACTTGACGAGGCTTTGCATCTTCACCGTTGTAAAACGTCTTAGCTCGACTGGTGATTTCCTTTGTGAGTGCGTCTTCTTTCTTCCGAAGAAGTTCCTTCAAAACAGTCACGCCTCGCGTAGTCGTTTTGCGGTGGGCGTCTTTCGGTGTGTTTTTCGTCGGCCTTATCATTTTTCGTCTTGCTTCGTCTTGGTTTTTTTCATTCACTTCAAGCCTTTGATAACTCGGGATAATCTGATTTATTATGTGTGTACTGCCAGAGCCTATTCTAGCCAATTCAAACAATTTTAATTGACAAACAGATACTATGCATTGGCCAGAAAACCCGTGAGATTGTCTGTGATCCGGTTTTTCAGGATCCGAAAGCTCAAAATATTTCAAATTTTTTTTCTTCACAAAGCTCAGGACATCGCTCAAGAGGAAGGGAGCTTCACCACTGTTTAGGGAAGCAAGAGACATGATTTTTTTTTTGGAAGAAAGCTGAGACAGCAGGCTACAACTTTGTCTATTCAGTTTTTTCATAGTCCGTTGAGTGTATTTTTAAAAAATAAAACAAAATCAAATGAGGGTTTTTTTCGCGGAAAACTCATTTCTGTTGGTCGAGGCAAGCGACTTTGAAGGTAAGCCTCTCCTTCGGAGACGCTTCGCGCCTCCTACGGAGAGACTTAGTTAAGCTCGCTTTGGAGGCTCACTTCACAAGTGGTGGCAGCTAGCCCAGGTACCCCAGGCCCACAGAAGCGCAGAACTTGCTTCACATTAGCATAATGTATCCAACCAAAAGGATACATTCACATGGTGTGGGGTCTTAAAATTCCATCAAGAGTGCAGTAGCACAACCACACTGATCTTTATGGTTCATCTCCCAAATAGCAACCAACATCATTCTTTGTTATCTTGTTTGTTTGTTTGTTTGTTTGTCTGCTTTTTTTGGGGGGATTCACCTAGTGTTTTCTAAAACTTGGAACCAACATGAAACACAGAAAAAAAACAAATTAGAATGTTTATTCAAAAGTAAATAAACTTCACTAAACTTCACTAAACTTCACTAAACTTCACTAAACTAAACTAAACTAAACTAAACCAAAGTGAGATGAACTAATTTGTACCAGCTGACAACCACCCTCCTCTCAAAAAATGAAAATGGAAATGGAAAAAAAAAAAAATGAAAAATGAAAAGGAAGAATGAATGGAGAATGAAGAATGAAATAGAAATAATTGGGAAAGAAATGGGAAAAAAATGGAGGAAAAACATTAGAGAAAAGAGAAAGAAAGATAAGAAAAAATTGTACATATCATTATATATATGAAGATATATATATATATATAAATTAATCAAAGAAACACACATAGACACACACAAAGACATACATAGAGGCACAAAAAGATGAAGACATACAAAAAAAGAAGCAAGATAAGGAAAAAGGAAGAAGAAGAAGAAGAAGAAAAGAGGTGATGAGAAGAGAAAAGAGAGTAAAAGAGGGAGGTGAGGATTACTTCTTAACCTGTTGGATAGCAGCAGCAACCCACGCGACCATATCGACGTGATTCTTCGCTTCCTCACGGAGGAAAGGATGTTTGAGGAGATCATTATAAGTAGGACGATCTTTAGGATTTTTGATCAAACATTGATTGACGAAATCGATCGCCACATTCGAATAGATCTCAGACGGAAGACTAGGCGATTCTCCATGAACGATCGCATTAAGTTGGGCAAAGATATTTGAGTAAGTTTCGGGAGGATAAGGGTAATGACCGATCGCAAATTCGATGATCGAGATCCCTAAGGACCACACATCCGAGGAAACCGTATACGTATTCACTTCTCCCGTCCGTTCCCCCTGGATCCGCTCCGGCGCCATGTACGATTGACATCCGATGTTCGTCTTCGCTAACGATCTCTCCAGTTGACCCGACACTCCGAAGTCACACAACTTGGTTTCTCCCTTCTGGTTGATCAACACATTCGTCGGCTTGACATCTATCAAAACGATCCTATCTATCAGTCATCCTTTCTTGTAATCCACCCCGGAAGAAATCATCAAATTATCTGACATACCTCGATGTATAGTCTGCAACTCATCCTTGAGGAATCGCAACCCTTCAACAACCCTCCCGGTGACTCTAGCCAGGACGGGCTCCGGAACATCAGCACCCGCCAACTTATCCAAACTTCCACCATCCATATATTCCATGCAGTAGTAGACACAAGATTCGATAAAGAAGGCGCCATAGAACTCGACAATCGTATCTGAGGTCGCTCGATGCAAGATATCAAGCTCGGTGAGAATCGCTTTGAGCTTTGAATCATCTAATTCTAATCTAATTTCCTAGTCCCAACCCAAAATAAAAAAAAAAACTTTCAGTTAAAAAACAAAAAAACAAAAACAGTTGAATCCAAAATCGGTCCGATAAGGATTTTTCAACTGACTTTCATTGCCATGACCACTTTGGTAGGTTTATGGAAAACTTTCTGGACGGTACCATAATTACCTTTACCCAATTCTTCCATGAGAGTCAATTCGTTCATATTGATAGAGAAGGAGGATCCGTTGGAGAAGTCGACGCCATGGGAATGGAGGATGGCCTTTCCGCCGAAATTGAGTCTGCCGGAGGGGTCGACGATCTTACTAAAGTTAGCGAATGGGGTCGCAGCGGCAGCTCCCGAGACGGACAAGAACTTGGTCTGATTGTTCATCGAGGATGAGGAGGAGGAGGAGGATAATGATGAGGGTGGTTGAGAGTGCATATCACCGAGTTTCATCATCGGCTTAGCTCGTCGGGTGCTCATCGATGGCGTTAGCATGGCCGATGGACTCGGGGCAGGTCGGGAGACGGCGCTGTTTGCCGAGGGACGATCGCCAATGAAGGCCATCGGATCCAATCTTTGGTTGTGTGGCATTGAGGAGGATGGAAGGTTATCCTTGCGCTTGGTCATCTGACAGGAAGGATAATTTGTTTTGTTTTTTAATGTAATTATTGATTAGTAACCAATTTTTTGTTTTTCTTCTGAGTGCAGGCAAGCAGATTAGAAAGAGAAGAAGAACTGACTGCTGCCATTTTGGCCACCAAGCCGGGTGGGACCTTGACCCCACCAGGGTTGCCCACATGAGGTCGATGGGCAGGTTTTGATGGGGGGTGTGGGTGTTGGGCTGAGTGTGGTAAGCCAGTAGGGTGTTTGGTGAGGGTTGGGCTGATTGAGTTTGAGTTAGAGTGAGTGGTTGTGTTGGTTGTGATTGATGAGGATGAGGCAGCAGATGATGAGCTGGGTGATGAGGATGGTGAATAGTCTGAGTTATTTGTTGCTGTTATTGTTGCTGGTATTGATGCTGGTGGTGTTGGTGTTGTGCCATCTGGAGCTGTTGTTGTTGCTGTTGCTGCTGCTGCTGATGATGCTGATGATGATGATGATGATGATGATGATGATGATGAGGGTGCTGGGGTTTTGTTGCTGTTGAGTTGGTTTGTTGGTTGTGTGGTAGTAGTTGGTGATTGGGATGGTGAGGTGATCGATAGTAGTGGGAGAGAGAGTGAGTCTAGTGAGATGGACTGTGAGCTTGGTTTGTTGGGTTGAGCCATGGTTGTTGTTTTGCTGTTGACCAGTTGCTGTTCGCTTCGAAGTGGGTTGAGGTTGAGGTTGAGGTTGAAGTTGTGTTGTTGCTGTGAGGATGGAGTCGTTGGTCTTATTAGTCTAATTGGTTCATGGGAATTCCGGGGGCCTATGTAGTATACTTTCGGATTGGCTTATTTATTTACATATGTAGTCGGCCACTTTCGATCGCCCTCTTCATCGTATATATTCACCCGGGGCTGTGTACATCCATACATACTGATACACCACCCAGTGTCGACGGGTAAAATCCTCCTGAGCTTCCGATCCGGCACTCAAGAGCCAGCCATCGGCTCATCCGAAACCCGCAATACCTGGCAGCGGGGCCGGATAGCCGTGTCAGCGGGAGACCGGAACCCCCGTTCAACACCCCGTGTGCTCCCTGCACCCACGCACAAGTAAAACAGCGCGCCGGTATATAAATAGACTCTTCCACCCACCCCACATGATTGCTGAGATGTCCACGATAATCCATGGGACTGCCTAAAGATGCCTCCAGCTATTACTTTATTAGTGACCCGGAAAACTCCTCCAACAGAAATGATTTACATTATCAATGGTGGGGGCAATCCACTAATGTTATATAACATTAGTGTAATGTAGTGCGATGTATGTATCTGTGCTTCTAACTGTTAATGTATTTCAGGGGGCCAATAACAGCTCCAATTAACGCCAATGGGCAGCAGGCTAGTACTAGTGCCCCTTCAAGCCAACACATAGAGGATTCTTCTAGCTAGCTCATTAACTTAAGCCTCTCCAATATGGGCTTCATCCACTCAAGAGGCAATTCTTTCCTGCTTGAGCCTACCACTGTTAAGGAGTCTTGTGCAGTGTGCTAACCTATTGATTATTTACCCTTTTGAGTATATAGTTTAGAATCTGTAGCATTTTCAGATAAGCCCTCAACACAGAGAAGCCCTTAAGACAGAGAAGCCCTTGACACAAACAAGCCCTCTGGGAACAATGAGTATTTTCAAAATAAAATATTACATAAAGGGGCTGAGTTAATAAGTAACAACTCTCAAGATTTTACAAAACAACTCACAAACTTAGCCAACATTTCCATAAGTTGATCAGAAGTTTTCTAGGAGTTTTCTTTTTGGCTCTGATGTTCAAACCAACTTGAGCAGTTGTTTGTATGATTCCTCAAATTTCAAGTATTGAAAGGCAAAGAAAATTGGTTCATAACTTCTTATGTATATGATGCCTTCCCCATAGAGCCCCAAACATTATCACTTGATTTCAAACTTACTTTAGCAGGAGGATGCATCAGATATCATGAAGTTGACAGTGTAGTACCATTATGAGTTGATGTGTCTAGGGGAAGCATTTGATATTTATAAGAAGCTTTGTCTCTAATAGGCTTGCATTCTAATCACCCTAAAACAGTTAAAAAGCCAGAAGATTAAAACTTGTCACTAACATATTGGCATTCCAAAAAATATACTTCTAATTACAAAAGAAAATATCATGTGGAAAATTGAGAACTCATTTTTACCAGATTAGGCCATGTCCTTGTGAAAGCATGTTTGCACAAATATCAGTGTTCATAATAAATTGGAACTAAGTATTACAAGATTTCTCTTTTCAGTTCTAAGAGGGGACATTTGGTTTTGCTTTATACACTGAATGAGCTTCTTGAATTCCCCAGAACCTTCAAGCCCCGACAGACTTTTGTTGGAATAACCATGCAAATCATTATAGACACCTATAATCAAGACTCTTGTTTTCTTCATGGAGGTGAGTGAGTTTTGCTTGGCTGTTCTTGTTCAGGGGCCAGCTCCTGTAGCATCAATCAATTTCTGATCAACTTTGGACGGTTTTTTATGGTGTCACAAAAAAAACGTCAAATAAGCGAGCAGATTTCAGCCCGTGATCAACGTCTAAAGTTTAACATCTTGGATGACATAGCGGTCAAGAATGCAGGAACTAGTTCTTACGATTAACAATTTCATCCCTCTGCTGTTTTACTGGTAAGAGTTCCTTTTGTAAACTTTGGCCATCCTTTGCCAGTCGCAATTGCTCAAAAGAGGCCCTATATTTTGCGGGAGTGAAGACCGAAACATTCACAAAAGATTTCACGGCTCTGACCTGATTAAAAACAAAATAACAAAAAGCTCTCACAAGTAGACGTCTTGCTTCGTATTGACCGTTTTTACTGTCGACTTGACTTCGTCGGTTGGGAAACCAATGGAAATCTTATCTCTAGGTCCAAGTGCGCGTTTTTGCTATCAGAAATATATGTATGCGGATTTAGAAGCAAAGTAAAATTGATGTCAGGAAAACCCGGCTTCCTGATCATCAAGATCATTCAGATAAATCGGTCGATTTCTCACAACACGTATAATTGTATCAACTCTGCGATTCATTATACCTGCGTTGAATTTTAGCTTGCCCGAAACCATGTCGTCGAGATCGTTGTACTGATCGTCAATTTTCTTCTTTAATTTTTTCAATTGAAGAGCTGAGAATCTTGCCGTTTCTTTTGGATCTTTTGGAGGCTGGCGGCCTTTTCGTTTAACAAGAAGTCTCCCGATCTGATGTGATTTGTTGACGATCTCACCCGGTTGCCTAGATTGTGTATGTTTTTTTTTCGATCGAATAGTGTATAATTATGAGCATGAGGATAGCAACTTCAAGGAAGTCATCGAGAGGATTTGATTGACTCACCGTCTTTCAACCAGTTGCTCTTCAAGAGTCACAGTTGAATCACTGAGGTATAGTGTTGCGCCTGCATATCCCATGACAGCGAGGAGGGCATAAAAACTTGCTAATAGAGCGTGTCTTGTTATAAACATTCTGGACAGGAATAGACACAGGGATAAAGTTGTAAATTAAAGTGCATGGAAAAGAATTTCTTTAAGTGCACAAAAAGCAGGATGATCGTTGGATTTTTTATGAGAGGTACGAGAAGATGCCATCAGGACGATTAATAGAGTAACCACGTACATACCACATCGTGTCAACATTGTTCTTGCAGGTCAACCGAGTTTCCCAAAGTCGGCCTCATAGCTACCCATCACACGATCGAACCCTCACAGTGTGCAGACCATAAGACCACGGCTAATGCATACCAACAAAGAAAGTTTGAGGGAGGTCGGGAATCATGGTGATGAAGTTGTGAACACTCCAGAATGCATAGCCTTAATATAACGAACTTAACTAAGTCTCTTCTTGCTTGTCGCTTTGTCAGAGGGACTTCAGGGTTAGTTGCACCAGCTCATCCAATCCCCTGGGTCTTGAGGCAAAAGCGAAGCAGCACGGAGAGGGTCCCACGAGGGTGCCAAAGGCAGAAGCGTGTTAGCTGTGTCAACTTTCCTATTTTTGATAACCCAATATTAGTCGAACTTATTCAGTCCCACCTTCTAGGAGGCGGGGCAGGGCCCCTCGCGCGAAGCGCGAGCCTCCGAAGGAGGGACTTGGGACTCATCAGCCAATTTTGGCTTGGATCCTGAACTGTACTTTGCCAGTTTTGGCAGGAGATAATCTTTGACACCACCTTACATCGGCATCCTGTGGGCCAAATGGCCCGCCCTTTGGCCAGATTGAAGCTTGGAATCTGGCCTTGAAGATCACGTCCCCGTTGTTTCAACCGAATTTTTTTTCAGTCATCTGCATCGGATGTAACTTCAGGATCTTTTCCATTTTGGAAAATGCAAACATCCGTACAGTCTGGCCAAGTGCATGGCCACCTACCAAGTGCATGAAACGATAACTTATCAGTTCCAAGTGCATATACACCATCATTCAAGACAGGTAACCTTCCAAACCATCTCGTGGTGGCATTTGCATATCACACAACATAACCTAGCACAAAAAGAAAGTCACAAATGGTATCACTCAGTCCAGACACCCTATCTAATCTGCCCTCTTTGCTTTTGAAAAACCCAAATGGATTTACCAGAGGAGTTGACGGTCACTGAACCAAACATCTTACCGGATCCCCTTGAAGCTCCCAATTATAGTCAAAATGTCAGAACAAGAAAAAGATACTGGATGTTTGCGCACACTTGACAAGGATCAAGATGACACCGAAGGAATTCATCACCGGTCCTGCTCAAGAAAGACCACATAGAATTCAACTACCCGCCGACGTACCTGGGGGACTACTTATGGATCAAATTCCACTATTGAGTTGGCTTCGGAAATAGCTAAAATTTTCTACAAGAAAGATGCAGCTCTGGATCGGTGGGCAAACTTCATCGAGGGCCAGGTGAGACTTTGTGGTTCAACTGCCAATTTATTCTGAGTTTTGAACCAAGAACTGATCCATTACCTGCTGAATTGCAGGCAGTTCTATTGTGTCGCCAAGAAATATCAACTTGTAGCTCGAGCTCGTTCATGAGCTCTCGTCTGGTCAAACGCGATTATTTTGGCCCAGCGGCGAAGGAAGCTCGAATTCATAAGCTCACAACGATTGAGAGGCCTTTTCTGTTCAACATTGTACATGGTGTTTTGTCTCAATATCAAGAGACCGATGGTGATGATGATGCAGACATGGACGATGGACCGGATGCACCCTCTTGTGTGGATGCTGATCTATCGCTAGAAAGGAACAGCGAGATAGCTTTGGATGACGGGGGCGCAGGCACACAATCAAACGATCTACAGGATTCCTCGTCCGGCAACTTGGAGGATGTTCTGGCTGAGTATGGTGGGTTTTTATACTCAAGTGGAACCAACGAAGTTACACTGGATGCTAGACAAAAGCGAAATCGACATGTGAGCTCTCGCTTAGTGGTGTCTCAGCTTGTCAGAGAGGGAGTGATACTGATGGTGAAGTTTTTTCAGATCGCATCGGTCATCTGTTCGATGGTCAGCTTTGCTGGAAACCGACGACATAATGGTTTACAGCTCGAGAATTCCATCCGTTTCTATGCTTGTGGGGTCTCGGAAACAGTCAACGAATATCTTCACTACCTTGGTTTAACATCACACAGGAAGACCGCTGTTCATGCCCTACGTTCCTTGGCATCAGAAGCGCAAGACAAAGTTGCTTCTTGCATGGCTCTTTCTAATCACATGGCTCCAATCCTGTGCATTGACAACCTGGACATGGAGGAGAGAATTCAGCTTGCGACCGTTGGAAAACAGAATCGCATGTTCCATGGGACCTGGGGATACATCCATCTCCCAAGTAAAAACTTAATGCAAAGGCTTGACCCAAACGAGATCACCTTAAAAGCGTACCATGATTCACTCCGTGGGGTCGGCTCTTTGGTGATTGACCCGAACATGTTTCTTCCGAGTGATGACGACCAAGATCACTACATTAAGGTAGTTAAAAGCCAGATTGCAAGGGCAATGCACAAGTATGTTGCACGACCATCAAACCCAAAAGGCAGACTGCCATTGGACCCACCCGATCTTGACCTAATCAGCCATGAGAAGCCCGAGATTCACATGCTCCAGCTGATGAATGAGTCCGACAACTCAGCCGAAGGGATTGGACAGGTGATGGACGCCTTGCAGAGACAAAGCCGGCTAGACCCTGAAGAATTCTTTGGTCGGTTGCAGCTGATTGACGGCGACCTCGGGACTGCTCAGATATTCAACGCAATCCGTGTCCTTCGATCTCCAAGTGAATATTGTGATCATAGTCTGAACAACATCTCCTTCACACTGGGGGCCGCACACACATTGTGGAACATTGCTCACACCATATTGACTTACCACTTTGGCAACTCATCATCCATGGACGACCTCGGGGTATGGCGATACTTGGAGGCACTTGGTATCCCACCGGAGAATGTTGCCCAGAAAAAGGATTTCACCAAGATGCTCCAGTACATGGAACAGGTACATGAAGCAACCTTATGGTACTGCCTCAGGTATTTGATTTGCCTCTCACGTAACTCATGGTATGGCTTGCTAATATCTGAGTGATGTAGGGATGTGATGGATCAGCAAGACCACGAGATCAAGCAAGATTTGCCAGTTATTCCAACATCAGATTGGAACAACATTGTCAACTTGTGTTATGAGAGGTTCTTCTCACATGATGCTAGACGGAAGGCTCGCTCTTCACCTAAGCTGAACAACTTATTGGTCCGGCTTCAAGATTTTTCAACAGTCATTGAGGCAAACCGAGCAATGAAGAGAGGGGATATCGGCCGGCTCATCAATGTGTGGAGGATGTGGTCAATCATGACACAATCACTTCCTGGGCTCACACACTATTCAGCTTATTTGCCCAGGCTGATCCTATTACTTACTGAGATTCTTCCCCCATCGTTGTCTCTGCTCATCCGGCACAGCATTTTGGTCTCGCCAAGTGGTCGACCAAACCACTTTGTGGCCAAAGACTTCCTATTGGAAAATCATAACTACTGGCTCAAATATTTTTACACTCGGGGCGGCATTGGGACACAGATCGGACGACTACAAGAACTATTCTCTTCAAATATTCCAACAGTGAGTCTGCACAAACCCTTACAACCAAGATGATTCATCATTTATGTATCCATCTGTCTTGCATTGGCCAGCTTCGAACTATGTTTGATTCGTTGCGGTTGGACAGTGGTGCAAAGCACATTCAACAAAGCCATAAGCCGCTACTCACTCTACGAGCACTTGAGCGTTTTCACCAAATGGCTGAAGTAAACAGGATCCTTGACGTGAAGTCAAAAGCTGGGGCGATTGAGCCATTAGGCATACCAAATACCTACATTGAGGGGGTAAGATTACTACAAGAAGAAGTCCACGGAAAGCCTAGCGAACTCGGTCGGTTCAAATTACACCTACCCTTTGATGAGCAGTGTGCAACACCACCAAGTGATTCTGCGGAGTCACCCCCGGGTGGGTCTGACCAGACGCCAGATATGGAAGATATGCAAGAAGATCAAATTGGTTCAGCCTCAACAGACAATTCAATGAGTGGTTCATCTATGGACGAACACATGACTTACGGCTGAAATATTTGACCAATCATGGGCCACTAGAATTCATCGCCCTCGATGAATACTTTCAACTCCTCGTCTCTCAGCGTCCTCGCCTGCCAGACGAACCAGTGTTGCCATGTGTAGTGCCTGCTCAGCCTTCCAAGCTTCATCGGCCTCCTTCCGCTTCATACGCCTCTCTGACTCCAGCCGCATCTGTTCTTCCATCCGTTCATTCTCCAGCCTCTTTTGATTATCAAGGATGTGAATCTGTTCTTCTGTCTGCTCCACCTGTGCTTGATTAATCACCCCTCGTGTGTACTCTGCAAGTGGGCCTTTGATGTAACTATCAATTGTTTCCCACAACATAACCATCTGACCAGTGATCACCTCGCCACCAATCAACTTCCGCAACTCTGTTGAATTTGAGATCTTCCCAAGGTTTTCAATTATAGACGTGACATGCTCATTTCGAAAGAGATCTTCAGGCCCAAAAAGGGTTTGTTTGCTGTAAGTCCTTGCAAACAATTGATCAAAGCAATCTCGGAGCAGGACCGATAATACAACCCGTTGGCTTGGGATCAGCTTGATTTGTTCCCCACCAGAAGTGGTCGCCTCATCTACTCGTTTCCTTTTTCTTCTGTTGTTCGTCTGTCCTTTGGGCCATTCGCAAGCCACAAAATCATCAAAGTTGTCCATAGTCATGTCTTTTATGTTGTTAATCAACCCAGCGGCCATTTCGGGCTTGCAATTTGAACAGCAGCAATCACCAAATCCCTCTTCTTCCTCACGTCTTTTTTCAAGTATGTATGATGGGTCGTTATGAGACAGAGGGATGTAACCAAGCCTGAGCAATCAAAATGGCAGTGTCAGTCACTGGGGCCATGATACAACCCAAGATCAACCAAGTGTGAAAACTCACGCATTATCAATTGCAAAAGCAATTCTCAGACACACCGGAGTTATAGCTAAGGCATCCATGCGATCGTTTTCAACAACCTTCTTTGACCAGTCGAACGCGTCCACTTTGTTCTTCCCCCCCTTCCGAGTTTTCTCCACAAATAATATAGCTAACCCCGGCCGTCCATCTCGGCCGGCACGTCCAACCATTTGACATATTGCTGAAGGATCCCCCCGCCCCATCTGGATTACCCGACGCACCCGAGACCAGTTTTGACCCATACCTAGAGCCATTGTACATGAAATCATTGGGAATTTCTCCTCAGCAAAATCCTCCACTACTTTCAATTTATCCTTCTCGCCTGTGCATGAGTGGAATCGACGGACTAGTAACGAATTGGGCCTCATCGAGTTCCCCGGTGTCCCACGAGCTTCATCAATAACCTTCATCACCTGTAATGTCCGGTTCCTAGTTGAACTGTAGATCAAAGTTGGTACGACCTTCTCATCGGGCACCACCGATTGTGGCGCAAACCAATGTCCCAGCTCAACTCCAGAAGCCATGGATGATGTGATTGGAACTCGTATGATGCGGATTTCCGGTCGAGTGAGTTCGCCCGTGACCACACGTACATTGTGATCTTCAAGTTTCAAGCTCTTCTTGATCGCTTTGACCGCAATTGGACGGCATGTCGCCGACATCAAGAGGATGGGCTTGTTATTCCGGGTGAGCAGGCGACCGCCCATTTTCCCATAGGATGGCCTGAAGATTGCGATGTCTTCAATGCGGCCCAGTGCAACGGCTTTGTCCTTCCCACTCGAAGACTCGACTAGACCCCACTGATATATGATATGTGCCTCATCGATAACGACTAGTGCGAGGCGATTTTGGAAGTTCGGACAGAAGTACACCTGATCCCACAGGCGAGAGTTCAAAAATATTTCCGGGCTGAGGTAGACAAAATCGTAAGCCCCATTCACGATGTTGTTTGCCTCCTGGACATTGAAAGTCAGCTTTGTCAGGTTGATTGCTGAGAACCCCGATCGTTTCTTTTCAAGCACTTGGTTGTCCCCTAATGCGTCCAGGGGGTTCAACACCAGTATAACCCCATTTGAAGTCTTGGGTAACAGCGTGTGATATATTTCCGGTATCCTCGATTTTCCAAACCCAGTACCGGCCAGTAAGAAGGTGTTCATCCCGCGCGCCAAGTGAAAGACCGTTGTAATCTGTAACTCCTTAGCCGGTTGTCCATAACGATCGAAAGCCGATTTCCCAATGGCAGTCTTCAAAGCATCGTCTCCTTTCATCTGGATCTTCTTTAGCAGCTCAATGCGGACACCGGTACCTTGGGGGTCAGAAATCGCTGGTGCGGCCAGACGGCAAAGCATCGTTGGTGAAACTGGGAGCCGGTCGACGCGCAAGCGATGATCACACAGACCGGATTGTCTTGGACAATATGGATTTCCAACAGTCTTACCGACTGTTATTTGGTTATTTGGATTATAAGACGTCTTGTTTCATTTTTCAAATGGCGATGATGTGTACAGTGTTGTATTCAAGTATTACATGGGTCTGTCTGTGTACAGGATGAATACAGGCTTGCTTCGGTGCCTCCAGAGATAATCATCGCATAAATAGGCAATGGAGGGAATGCTGGACGAAGGTTTTCAAAGCATTGGCTAGTTGTCATCAGATGGGACTGAGGGATGATGGATGCATCAAACGATGCAAAAGAAGCCAGCCTTCTAAGTCCATCACTCCCCGGCAAAATATCTCAATTTTTCGCTTGGGTAAGTCCAATTTAGTTGAAATTGCAGCTTTCTGGGGCCGGGGTGCTGTCCGGATCCACGCCAAATTCCGATATTTGGGGGTATGCCTCTCTGTGAGACAGAGACCCTGCGGGGCTGCCCCTTCGGGGCTCTCACTCGAGAGGCGTTGTTATGCTCGAATATTAGTAAATTATACAGTTTGGATGCATCATACGCTTCCTCCTCGACTTCATAACCCCAGCTGTAATTACATGAACTTCCAGGTATTCCTCATGATTTCAATCCTATCTTTCACCCTTGATCGCATTAAGCCTACAACACCTTCAAGGTGTTCCGGGACTAGACTTTTGTATTCTTCTTCCAGTTCGGTTAGCATTCACATGAAAAATGTGGTTTCTCGCATGGCATGATGAAGTACATGACCTTTCTGTTCTCATGAAAGAAGAACTTGATGAGTTTGGGCGTCTTGAGACAAAAGATGAGTCGGAATGAGTTATTTTGAACGCATCAAGATGAAATATCAGCGGACATGAGTTGCAATTCTAATATCTGATTACTCAGCCTATGCACAAAAAGAAGACGGAAATGCGAAACTTCTATAGAGTAATGGACTAGATTTACAACCATAGGAATCAAGTCCGAGTAAGAAAAGGTGAAACTGCTGTACAACAAAGTCAGAACTGATAGACCTTTTAACGAAATGATTGCGACTTTTTCAAACCAAAGCCGAGGATAAGTTTGTCCGTATTCGGAGAAGGTTAAGTATTGGATCGATTCCAGCCTCTTAGACTTGAGGACCAGCGTCTTTTACGTCTTGAGACACCTCTTTCTCATACTTCTTGAAGGCGTCTTTGAACATGGTAGCCAGTTTCTTTCTATCGGTCTCAAATGAAGAAGTGTTCTTCCAAGCTTTGGCTGGATTCAGCACAGTGTCGGGCACCTCCGGTAAAGTCTTGGGAATGGAAAGGTTGAAAACATCGAAGTTTTCAAACTCGGCTTTTGCCAAGCTTCCATCGTGGATCGCATCGATCAACTTTCGAGTATACTTGAGGGAGCATCGTGACCCTACTCCAAATTTGCCTCCAACCTGCACATGTGTTGACATCAGTTTAGTTCAATTCCACCTAAATGGGAAAACGCGTACCCATCCAGTGTTGATAAGCCAGCACTTAGCTTGAACCTTGTCCATTCTTTCAGCCAACATGGTCGCATATTTCGAAGGGTGAAGAACTATGAACGGTTGGCCAAAACAGGTAGAAAAAGTTGGAGTAGGTCTGCGTAAACCAGCACAATGTAAGTCAATACAGTGTTCAAGTGGCTGCCAAAATCTGACAATATTTACTCGGTAACTCCATCTTCAGTTCCGGGGGTCTTTGACGTGTATCCCATCAAAAACCAATATTGGGCTTGCGCGCGAGTAAGCAAGGAAACAGGCGGCAATATGCCGTATGCATCGCAAGTGAGATAGACGACATTGGTGGGCTGCGCGGTTGACAAACACGGGATTTTCGCATTTGGAATGAACTGCCAACAAACAAATGAATTCAGATTCTGGCTCGTACTTAGACTCCTCTACTTCGGCGAGCTCACCTCGATGGGATAAGCACATCGCGTATTTTCAGTGATGCTGGCGTCGTCATAGCATGGCTGTCTAGAGTCACCGTCATACACCACGTTTTCGAGGATAGCTCCAAAGCGAATGGCTCGGTAGATATCTGGCTCTTTCTCCGCACTCAAACCGATGCATTTAGCGTAACATCCGCCTTCAATGTTGAAAACGCCCTAAGAATGAAGATGTTACTCGGTATGAGCATGTGATGAGCACAAAAGCAAGATCCCACTGACATTATCAGACCAGACATGCTCATCATCGCCAATGAGCATGCGAGCCGGGTCAGCAGACAAAGTGGTTTTGCCAGTGCCTGAAAGACCAAAGAACAAGGAAACATCCCCATTTGGACCTTCGTTGGCCGAAGAATGCAACGACAACTGGCCGAACTTGACTGGTTGAAGATAATGCTGTAAAAAAGAGCAAGATTGTGGTTATCAAGATTGAAGTTTAACGCAACTCGCACAAGGAGTGCTTACCATGACTGAAAAAATTCCTTTCTTCATTTCACCAGCGTATTCAGTTCCAAGAATGACCATTTCGCGCCTCTTGAAATTTATTTCAACTGAAGTGGCCGATGTCATTCCACTGGTGAACCGGTTCGCGGGGAATTGGCCAGCGTTGTAAATGGTAAAATCAGGTTCACCGAAATCATCCAAATCGGCTTCGGTGGGTCGAATGAGCACTAAAATTTGAGCGAAAAAAAAATGAATTTCAAAATTACTGATCCAATGGAATCAAAAAGAAAGGGGGGGGAACTAACTGTTAGTCATAAAGAGCGCATGATAAGCACGTGCACAGATTACTCGAACTTTGATTCGGTATTTCGGGTCCCACTGAAATTGAGAGGACCAAATAAGTTAGTTAGCAAACGGCTCTGAGTTGATTGAATAATTCAACTGACTCCGGCAAAACCGTCAAACACGTAGACGTTTTCTCTCGTGTTGAGATAATCGATAGCACGCTCCCGATTAATTTCGAACGTATGCTCGTCCATCTTGATGTTCACGCTTCCCCACCATACATGGTCCTTACTAGTTTCTTCGTAGACGATTCGTTTGTCCTTTGGAGATCGTCCGGTCTTTTTGCCTGAAAAGTTGATCAAAGCACCAGAGGCTGATATAATTGCCCCTTCGTTTCTGATCGCATCTTCATATAATTGGGCAACCGGCGCATTACGCTTGATGTGCTGTTAACCACAGTAAAGAAAACATTGTCAACGAGTCAGTGAAATCCACAGTGCTACTCAGATCATATAAGCGCCATGTAGAGCTGGTGATCATTGGGGCCAATTCGAAATAAAACCCTTACAATTTTATCCATGTCAAATCCAGCTTCGGAAAACATTTTCATGTCTTTGCCAACCAGATGGTAGTGGGGCATCCCACTGTCGTAGAGTCAAAGGCCACACCGTTAGCTCGAGCAGATAAAACAACCCAAGACATCCCAAATGTGACCCAAAAACAACTCACCCAGACACGTGACTGCTGGACTCCTCATAAACCTGCATCGGAGTGCCAGTTCTGGTAAGAGGGGATCCGGTGCGAGCCAAGGGAGATCCGGCATGGCCATGGAGTAGATGGGCCATCTTGTTTGCTTGGTGGTGATGATGATTTGACTGGATTCGAGGACGATGATAGGAAAACAGGCAAGGAATGGGAGATGAGACAGTAAGACAAGCCTTAACGTTTGGAGAGTGAAGTAAGCGATCCAATCGCAATATGAATACAATGTTTAGGCGGTCAAGATGAGGAATGAGGAAGGTAGGATGGGTGGAGATTGGATTTCTTATTTCAGATTCCAACAAACCCCGCTATTGCTTGTTGAGTGCTACCCAGCTGGACTTACTACTAAATACCGGGATAAAGTGGAAAGTTGAAGAGAGGATTGAGGATGGATGGATGGAGGGAGGAAGTTGTTGGATGGAAACAATTCTAAGAGAGGAGAGACTATGAAGCTGATCGAGGTCAACAGCTTCAGAAAACCGATGACGTGTTTGAAGCACTCGAAGTGGCTCGATGCAAAAATTTCCAGGTTTGATTTCAGTTTCGGGGCAGACGATCGGAGATTCGAAGACCAAGAGAGATCATTCTCTTCGGGATTACGTAAAATAGACGAGATGTATGGACTTATCCGATAGCAAAACAGTCAATCTATACACTTAGGTCCTCAATGACCCTTAATGATCGGCACACCGTCATCCGACAGAGATCAACTTGAAAGTTTTCAAGCCCGCGATGATTACAATGACTGAAAGTGCTCGGTTAAGCTCTCCGCGCAACCGCAGAGCGCTGTGAGTCAAATGTTGCACGACTTGTTCCAAAGTTCAAATGTTGATACGATTGAGGCTGGGGGGTCCGAGCAGACTGCTCAGTACTTACGACTCAATGGCTTGATCAAGTCACATGGAAGGAATATGTAACGAAAGCCCATTGACCAGGCGGCTTTCAGGCAGGGATGTTTCAATAGAAGCACTCACGGTGAAGGAGATTTCCCTATCAGGCTAGATACGTTTATGAGTTGTCAAGTCATTTCCGAGTGTGGTGAACAACACTTGTAAGGAATCAGGTGGCCAGTTGCAAACAAATGTTGACATAGAATAGCAAACTGAATACATGTATATCCAAATGAGTGTCATAGTCAAGCTGTGATTTTCCATTCAAGTCAAATCATAGATGCATTGCTGGGGTTAAGAAACATGAATATGAATCAAACTTGGGACTCAGGAGAAAAGAATCAAGAAGTGACCTGTGGCCTGGACCAAAGGGAATATCCAACTCTCTGTCTGAGGTATGTATCCACAGTGCCAGTGCCTGTATGTGGAGGCATATGAATAGCGCAGTTTCCTTCCCAGTGAACCTTCATGTTTATGTAGATGCAACAAGCCAAAGAATACAATTTTCAAGTATCAAGGCTGATTATTAAGTGCTTTCATCATGGTGGTGCCCTCCAGGCCTGACCCCCAAACAACTAGCAAGTGAGGGATAAAATTGAATATGTATCTAAATCTTTATAAAAATCCAAAAGATCAGCCATTGGTCAAGAAGTACATATCAGAATTTCAAAAGAGACCACTCAGTTTTGGAAAATAAAATAAAATAAATTACCAAAACATACAATGGAAAATATGAGTGCTAGGGTAGCAGCATCAACACTATGTCAGGAGTTCATTCTTTTGATCCAGTTGTAGTAAAACATATCTGATCCAAGAAATAAGCTTAGGGTCTTGGAAAAGCAAATCCTCAAACTTAGTAAAATGACTCCCAGGCCTGTCAGCAGAAAGTACTTGGAAGATGTTTTTCCAATTCACCCTGTGGGTTTGGGAGTCATTGTCCCTTTGTTTTTTTTTGGGGGGGGGGGGCGGGCGAGTTGGCGGACCAAACCCTCCGGAACAAGTGGGAGGTTTGTGAGTTTCCTCCCTACTGGTCATAACCCATTGCAGACTGGGGGGATTTCCTTCAAGCTTATGAGGTAAAACTACCCCATCAATCTGAAGGATTTCCCTCCATTTAATCATTTACTACCCCATTGACCAGGAGCAAATCCTCCTATGAGGTACAACTACCCCCATTGACCACGATTAAATCCTCCCAGTGAATAAGGTACAACTAGCTCATTGAATGGGAATAAATCAACCTGGTCAATGGGAAAGCCAGGAGTCACACTGCAAAAGGGGTTGTATCAGTTACAACCCCCCGCAATAAGGTTGCCCAGAGGCGACCAATGTCAGATTGGTCTCATTGACCAATTTTTTATTGGTCAGGCCCACCAATACATTAGAACAAAGAAAAAATGTATTGGTGGGCCTGGCCAATATAAAATTGGTCAAGGAGACTGATCTTATATTGGTCACCTCCGGGCGACCTTATTTCAGGGGATTGTAACCATTACAACTGTTGGAATTTTGATATCATTTTTTACTCATTCCAAAAATCACCTATTTCATTTCTCCTCTCATGTTTTCAATATTCATTATAGCCTGTTTTTCATCTAAAAATATGCATGTCTGTTCAACATCCTTTTAGTCAAAGAAACCTGGTTAGTATGACTTATCAGCTATTTTAGTGACACTTGTCTTCTTGAAATTGTTTACTTTGTAGGCTTGTTATTATTTTGCATATTCAATTTCTCAACCACTTTTTCATCACTTTGTAAATAGTCTATTTAACACATAGAGCTTTTCCTAGTAAGTGAAAAACATTGGTTCTTCTTCATTCTGAACTTTGACATCCTCAGAGCCCCCCGTGAGTTTATCAATAAAAGACCAGTCACTCACTCTCTCTCTGCTCATCGGTGGTCATAATTTCTTCAACAACCCCTTGAAGTGTCAACTCCCAAACCTCTCACTTTCAAAGGAGGTTTTGGTCTGCAAACTCCCTCCCCCCCCCAAAGAAAAATCAAAAACACCTTTCACACAACTCCCAAACCCACAGGGAAAAATTGCAAAAATAACTCCCAAGGACTTTCCTTCAATGGTCCTAGAAGTTTGGGAGTTGTTTTCCTAATTTTTAGGTGTTGTTTTTCCAAGACCCTAAACTTATTGAACCCCCTCCCAGCTTCTTGGTTGAGCCCACCAAAACCATCCCAATCAAATGGGCCAATTCAATTACCATTGAGATTTATTTCCTATGATTTCCTGGGACTTATCTCTCCCAAAAGATTGAGGCCCCATTTTGCCAATCCATATTGTCATCAGTAAATATATAAATAAGGAAACATCAAAACTGAATTGAGGTTATAATTTTATATGATCTCATTTTGATGCACCTTGCAAATACTTGAATATATCCTTGAGGCTATTTGTTTTTAATTATCAACTCAATCCATCTTGGCTGCATTAGCCTTCTTTGGACTCACATGGAAACCTCTGAAGAATGGCTTCATTGAGAGGTTGCCCACAAATGAGGTGTTTGGGAGGTATATGGGCAAAGATTTGAGATGAGTGAGATACAGTTTCTTTGGGTATAGATGTTTCAGTTTGACCCAAAAAATCTCCAATTTTCGTAGTATATACAAGTGTGTGTCTCTTTGTGTGCACCCTTCAGAAGTTCAGATACTTTTAAACTCTAAATTATTTTGTGATTTTTTCTGAAAACTGTAGGAGATAAGATAGAAACATTCTATCAAGCTGGGTGAATGCTAAAAAATGATTGATTTTTGGATACTTTCAAACTTTAAATTATTATGTGTTGTTTGTTCTACTGTAAGAGATAAGATAAGAACATTCTATCAAGCTGTGTTACTGCTAAAAGATTATTGATTGCCTATAATGCCAGATCAGATACTTTCATCATCAGGTTTTCTTTTGTGCTCAGCAAAGATACAGCTATTGTGTAAATGATTGCACCAATATCCGAACTCTTTTCTTTCTTGCGCTACTTTTTTTGTGCCCCAATCCTCAAAGTCGGCCCTGCCAGTGCAAAGTACAGGGAGCACACACCGGCTGAGACCACCCAATTTCACCCTATCAGCTGAAGTCAAACATTGTTTTTTTCAGGCTGAGTTGGTCATGATATTTGGTGGGTAATATCCTGCAAATTTACTCAATGGGATTGGGGCTTCAAGGATCAGAGGAAAAAAAGTGGTGTGAGGAAAAAAAATTCGGAGTCAGCACAAACAGCGGTGGGCCGCTACGCTTTTGGCCCAAAAAGCGTAGCGTAGCGGCGCTTTTTTTCATCCAAAAACCGTAGTGTTAGCGGTTTTTTAGCGGGTTTTTGCTACGCTACGCTGCGCTACAGCGCTTTTAGCGGAAAAAGCGGCCAAAAACCGCTAAAAAGCGCTGTAGCGCAGCGTAGTGGGCCCTTTTTTGGGGCCCACACGCGTAGCGTTAGCGGTGTCGTGGCAGAATCCCGCTACGCTACGCTGAGCGCTAACAGCAATTTCGCTGCGTTACGCTACTGTCAGCCTTGAGGTATATACATACCCATAGGCCTCAAAATATAAAATAATAAAAATAACAATTACAACTCATAGTCAAGTCTCAAGACTAGCCCAAGAAAAAATATTATAAATAATAAATTAATATTAAGCATAAAAATCTATATATAAAAGTGTATATGGTCAAAAGCCTGCAAATGACCACAAAGGCCTTTAAAAAATAAAAATTAACTTTTTTACTTTACTTTGAAAATAAAACCAGTATACATGTAGTTACATACCACTGTGTAACTACATACTCAAAAAACAAAGAATTCTGTAACATAATCAATAACTAAAGAGTTACAGACATTTAAAGTTACAGAACCAAATCAGCTGATGACATAAACAAAGTTCATTGGATGCGAACTCAAGATAAACAAGGTTTCAAGGCTTGTGCAACATGTACAACCTTGTAGTTCAGCAACTATAACCAAGTAACCAGTTTAGGCCACATATTCTGAACCCTGACCAGCCACTTGGTCATGTAACCTGTTTTGTTTATTCCTAACCTTAATAACCTTTCTGAGCGAACTCAGAATATCCTCTTACATCAGCCATCCATCAGAATAACTCTGGTCCAGTTTGAAATCAACAGGATTGAGAATTGGCCCATTTCAATCTGGCCCAAGTAGTTAATCTGTTCTCAGCCAGTACATATCAGAATACCTCAACCAATCCCCTCCAAAATGGATTGGAGGCGAAACAAAAAGCCTCCTTTGGATATCTGGAACCCTAGCAATACCTTGGTATTGCATCATAATATCCTGACTGGGTAGCTGTACCCGTGGTTACAGTTACAACTGTTTCAGCCTTTGGGATACTGATAACCAAGGCCTTGGGCATGGCTTCCACTCAGCCAAACAAGCCCAAAGCATCAGTGTCATCGTGCAAAAATGCACTGCAAGCCACCCTAAGGTGTGTGGCTATATAAAGACTCCTTTATTGAGTGCTTAAACCTCAGAAATTCACCCACTTCACCATATATACTACTATATACTTGAAGCCAGCATTTCCAACCATTTCTCTTATCAACCTTAGCATTCCAACCACGAAACAGAGCTCCTCTTTTACTGCTACCTTCAGCCTTAACCTGTAGCCTTTGCCCTTAAAAGATCCCAGCTCCTTATTCCTTTAAAATTGGCCATTTTCTTACTTTCTGTTGCAGAAGTATTGCTCTAGAATTTGCCCAGGAATCTTCAACTCATCCAAAAGACCTTTTTGGACAAACTCCTTGTGATCTATTGTCTAACAAACAATTCACCTTTTCTCAATTCCTCCTTTGGAATTCAGAGTATTGATTAAAACTCAACTCTAGGCCTCTTAACAAGTAATATTGTGAGGTTATAATTTCTTTGATTGTTTAACCAACAATCCCCTTTTTTTTTGTAAGTTTAAATACACTTTAAACTTTAAAATTTAATATAAAATTACTAACAAAAATTTATTAGGACAGGAATAGTACTAGAATTTCCTTCTAGTTTCATATCCAGACCTTACAGCTACACTAACGTAGCGGTTAGTGTAGCGGCCCACCGTTGGCACAAACATTTGTACAGTGGGTAGACAGTGAAAAGTGGCTGCTTATTTTGGGTTCCAGAGCTCTGAAGCACAGACTTGAAGTCATGAGACCTGGTCAGGTGGTGCATAATAGGTCCCAGAAAATGAATATGAAAAAATAAAAACAAAAAATCAAGTTTCAAAATTTGTGAAAAATAAGAGAAAAATTGATTTTTTTCCAAAAGCTTTGATATTCATTTTGGGGGAGTGGGAGTGCTGAGAGAAAGAAATAATGATTATAAATGAAAAAATTGGAACCAAAAAAGGTTTGGCCAGGTTGGTTGTCCAGATTGGAGCCAAAACAGTAAATTCTAGTGCTTTGCTGCAATTTGGGCTGGTGAATGCCCCACTCAACAGCTGTTTGAAGCCATCTGAAAACCAGTTTTTCCAAAATTTTCATTTATAATCATCCTTCTCATTTCCCAATCTTTTTTTCTCTCAGCATTCCCACTCCCCAAAATGAATATCAAAGCTTTTGAAAAAAAAAAATCAATTTCATTTTTTATTTTTCACAAATTTTGAAACTTATAAGCAGCCAATTTTCACTTTCTACCCACTGTACATATTGTCTATATTCCATGTTTTTCATATATTCCATGTTTTTCAATTTCATAATGTTAATTTTTTTCAACATCAATTTTTTTACCACAGCAAAGTCTTACTTTGCTTGATGTACAGCACCTGATCAAGGTACTAAGGGAAGGTGCTGTGGTCCATGCGCACGGAATAGATTAGCCTAGGACAGGCACGGATTAGTTCATGAACCAGTCTGATACATATTAATAAATATTCCGAGCCGTAGGAAATTCATCTAGACTTATAGACACCCGTCTCGAACCGTCAAGAGGATTTTCCCCACCACGCTCACAATTCTTGCCAATCTTAATTATCATCATTATTTACTTACAAAAATCAATATATTTTTTTGTGACCTCCCACACACCCTGCATGGAAAGGGGCGCGTCTGTTTCATAAACCTACTCCTTTCATAAAATTCAAGATAAATTCCATGCATTCAAATAGAGTCAAAGAAGAATAAGAAAGGATTGACTTCTATAGAAAGTATACACACATGTTATTCCCTGTGGTCCCTAAATATCTTTTTACCCATATTTTTAAGTATTATTATTAAAAATGAATAAAATTAATTTATTTACCACCCACACTTGGATAGATGGAAGAATTTATTCTATATCTATCCTAGGATTTGTGCTGCGGCACATTTCCAAAAAAGAGTGCCACAGGAATGATCAGAGTGCTAAATGGATTGGTTAGTCACAATCGGTGGGTGCCATGTGGCACTTCACACTATTCAGGGGTGAAACCGGGGTCTCAGGGCAATGTTGCAACAGATACGAAACATGTATTCGTATTGGATTGTATTGTCTTTATTTTGAGCCTGATACCAGTATCAGTATTTTCTTGGTTGGTGAAAAAATTTATTGTCTCAGATTCGGATTTACGAATGAAAAAAGGGCCTTGGAAAAACGACTCCCAAGGATTCGTCAACGACTCTCAAATACGGTTGTCAGACGTCCCTTGGCAGTCGTTCCTCCAAATGGATGGCCAACTTTGGGAGTCGTTCCTCCAAATGGATGGCTGACTTTGGGAGTCGGCCATCCATTTATTTTTTAATTTTTTAATATATTTTTTTCGATTTGTTGGGAGTCGGCTCCCCAAACCACCCCTCATGCTTGAGGGGATTTGGGAGTCACTCCCACATGACCGGAAGGAAATCCTTCCGGTCAATGAGAAACAACAACCTCATCAACCGGAAGGGGTTCCTTCCGCGCTTGATGAGGTATAACAACCTCATCAACTGGAAGGGA